CCAATGCATCCGAAATAGCAGCAGTCAACGTCTTTGGATTCCTAGATTTCACTAGGTAAGCTGCTGATTGATCCTTAAGACCGTTTATGAAGGTTTGCACTGCTATGGGTTCCACTACTGGCTTCGCTGAGGCCTCAGTGGTGAAGGGCACACCCTTCGAAACCCATGCGGACGCTAATTTGGTAGCGAGCTTTTCTACCTCGCTGCCAAAATCCGTCACTGTTTTGTTCTTTTGCTTCAAAGCTCGTAATTCAGCCTCCACCGCAATAGGTGTAAGTTGAATTGCGAACTTTGTTTTCAAGGCAGTTGTCGCATCTGCCAGTGTTTGGGTTCCATCAATGGATCCCCTCGCGGCACCAATTAACCGCGATTTCAAAAAATTAATAAAATTGGCCTCCGGGACGGTAGGATCGTCCTCCCGAAGAACCTGCACGCTATCCAACCAGGATTGTAGCGTGGCTGCATCCCCGTCGTATTTATCCACGACGCGGATTGCCAAGCTAAGATCCAGTTTGGGCGGCATTATGGGCTTAGTTTTTTCTTCGTCAGATTCGCTTTCGGATTCTTCTTCCTGTTCACCTTCTGCTTCTTCTTCCTGTTCACCTTCTGCTTCTTGTTCTTCTTCTCCTTCTTCTCCGTCTTCCTCCTCTTTTCTTATGAAAAATTGGTTAACTTGCAGCCTAAATGCTGCGAACGCGTTGTCAATCTTCTTGTTTGCTAATGACAGTACAAACTTTTGCAGTGAAGTTACGTGTCTGAGCACCGTATCCTTCTTTTTGGAATATTGGGGGCTCGTTGCGTTAACTGTGGCAACAGCCTTTAATAAATTTTTCACTACTGTCTCTTTTTCTACATATTGGTCCATGTATGCCTACAATGTGACCTAACATAGACAATTCAGAGGATTTGACTCAAGAAGTTAGAAGGTTTTCAGAAAATATCTTAAAATAGCTTCATAGTGTGAAATAATGGCTTCGGTTCGTCTTGCTTTGCTAATCTTCCACAATGGAGAACTTTAATACCAATTAGGGAACACAGTGACGACCTGATTTCTCGAAATAATTTCTTATGTGATATCAATGTATGTTTCGGAAAAATTTCCAACTTTAAATGCAAATTTACGCTCTTTTAGTCATGTACTCAATTCATTAGCAAGAAAATCGACAAATGAGTAAAGCAATAGAGAATCATGTAGATCGATATAATCGTAAATAAGTAATTATAATGCACAAAACAAAAATTTCCACTGCCTATATAAATATTGGGAGTCCTATTAGTAGAACTCTATTAGATTTACACTTGAATGCATTGAGATTATTTTTTTTTCTCTTCTTGTAAACATTGAATATTGGAAAAGGTTCTAGAACACACCTTACTTGTTACTAGTGTTATGCAACTTGATTATATGATTATGTTTTCCGATATCAGTTCATTTTATCAGGCACTTACTATCGCTTCCCTTTTTGTTCTGCAAACCGGCAACGACGACGATGACGACTACGTTCTCGTCGTTACAGCACGGCGACTCACTTAGGGCTTCACAGCATCTACGGTCATCTTGAGGCCGTTGTAGGCCCAGTTTAAGTCCTCGATGAGGCCTGCCGACCTTATCCTCAGGGCAGCTCCTGCTGCCAGGTTGTATACCGCTTCAAAGATTGCACGCTTCGCGGCCATCACTTCCACAGATAGTTTTTTTGTCTCTACGGGAAATTCGTTCCCAAAACTTTTTTTTTTCGCGTTCAAATTGCTCTATCGCTTGAGCAACTATAAAGAAATCGATACTGTCCACATGTTCAATGTTTTTTTTTTTTTTTTTTTTTTAATTTTTGTTCACTTTGTCTTTTACGGTTCGCCTTTTTTTTCTTCCATGCGCACTCGTGGGGTGGCACTTGAATATCGGTCAAAGTTTTGTCAATTTACTTATTGAGAGGAGTCCGTCTTCAAACCTTAAACTTGCGCATTCACACGGCGTGCCGCCCTCTCGGCAACGCGCTCAGTGTTGTGGCGGTTGATCTTCGCTACTCCTTTGAAAATCAAATAGCCAGCGGCAAAGACCGCCATGGCACACAGAGCCACTGTTTGGGTTGTATGATGTCCACACTGGGGCTGTGGCTGTCCCCCACTCGCGGCGGCTGGTGCGGCGACGATTTCGTCCGCACTGAACCAACCCATATTGTCACTCGCGGTTTCGCTTGATTACTAAATTTTTTCCACTGTTTTCACTAATTTAACGACCATCTATCAGGCTTGGCTGTTGTAATTGTAGTTTATTGGCCTGTTAACCACAGAAACTTTCTTTTCGCGACCGGTTGGTTTTCTGCCGCATCGCATCGCAGTGCACTCGCTGTTCGAACTCGATCAAACACACTTTGTGTTCGTCATTAATTATCACTTTTCGTCGCGGCGGCGGTAGCGTTCAATTAACGGCACACAATTTGCAGCACTCATCTACTGTTCCTTAGAGCTCCTGGCAGGATTGCCATGAAAAGTTGTTCCTCTATCTGTTAGTATTTGCCACTTGGCTTTCGGTATGATAAAATCAACTCAACTGCTCGCCTCCGTGTCAGAACTAAGAATCATTTTATTACTTCTCTCTTATGCTAACTTAACCTACCTAGCGGTGGCGGACGTGACCCTTTCTGCTGGATCAGCACAAACTGCGTTCGCTGCCCGAGTGGCGTGATCGCGTTTATGCTGATCTTTTTGTTTACATACATTTTATCGTCCGTCTGCGCATTGCTTGCGCAGGGCCGTATCCACCACACCTTGTTCGAAACAAAAAATCTAGTCTGGTCCAAGAATTTTAAATAATTTCTAGGGCTTTAGAACAAATGTCCAACAGCATAATTAATAATTTCAGGCAAAAATCGTTACTCTACTTTTCTTTTACTTTTCCTGGTCCGATTCCTAGCTCGGTTCGTGGCTGCTTGTTTCCAAATTCTTGACCGTCCCACACTTCTTGCCCCACTTGGGCTAACCACCTTGATTACTGTACTCCTATGCGTCTTGTACCGACAAACCCAATTTTTGCGGGATTGTTTTGAGGCATTCTTACAACGTGTCCCGCCCATCGTACCCGTCCAGCTTTCGCGACTTTCTGGATACTGGGTTAGCCATAGCGTTGCGCTAGCTCGTGGTTCATCCTTCTCCTCCATACACCGTTCTCACGCACCCCGACAAAAATCGTCCTAAGAACTAGTCGTTCGATAACACCCAGTGCTTACAGGTCCTCCTCTTGCATCGTCCACCTTTTGTGCCCGTAGAGAACTACCGGTCTTACCAGCGTCTTTTTCATGGTCCTTTTAGTACGGCGGTGAAGTTTACCCGAGCTCAGGGTCTTGTGGTGTCGGTAGTAAGCACGACTTCCGGCAATTATGCGTCTACGAATTTCTCTGCTGCAGTTGTTATCCGACGTCACCAATGATCCGAGGTACACAAAATCATCGACCTCCTCGAACTCATCTCCGTCGATTGTCACGCTTCTGCCCATGCTAGTCCTATCGCGCTCGTTCCTACAGCTAACAGATACTTTGTCTTCGACGCCCGCAGGTTTCATAACACCTTCTAGCGCAATGTTGAATAAGAGACAGGAAAACCATCGCCTTGTTGAAGTCCTTTTCGAGTTTCAAACGGGTCCGATAACGCACCTGATATCTTCACACAGCACTGCACACCATCCATCGTAGCCCTGATCGCTCTGGTCAGCTTCCCGGGAAAACCGTTCTCGTTCATAATCTTCCATAGCTCTTCACGGTCAATAGTATCATAAGCGGCATTGAAAACGATGAATAGGTGGTGCCTAGGGACTTGACGCTTTTGGAGGATTTGTCGCAACGTAAAGATTTGGTCCGTTGTCGATCGCCCGTCCACAAAACCGGTTTGATAACTTCCCACAAATCTGCTTGCTAGCGGCGATAGACGGCGAAAGATTATCTGGGAAAGCACTTTGTAGGCCGCGTTGAGAATAGTGATCGCTCGATAGTTTTCACATTCCAGCTTGTCGCCTTTTTTATATATTACTCCTTCCACTCCTTCCACTCCTTCCACTCCTCCGGTAGCTGTTCTGTATCCCAGATCCTGGCTTTCAGTCGGTGCAGACAAGTGGTCAACTTATCCGGGCCCATTTTGATAAGTTCCGCTCCGATACCATCTTTCACAGCTGCTTTGTTGTTCTTAAGCTGTCGGATAGCATCCTTAACTTCAACTATCGTGGGAGCTGGCATGTCCCCCTCATCCGCTGTACCGACGAAGCCATTCCTCCTGCCGCCTTGGTCCTTGATCCACCGTTCAGATGTTCATCGTAGTGCTGCTTCCACCTTTCAATCACCTCACGTTCGTCCGTTAAGATACTCCCTTCCTTATATCGACACATTTCGGCTAGAGAACGATACAGCTGCTTCATTTCTTCGCACTCCAGCTCTTCCAGGCTGCGTTTCTTATCCCGGAAAAGATGGGTTTGCTGTCTTCGCTTCTGTGTGTATCGCTCCACATTTTGACGGGTTCCTTGGTGCAGCATCCCAAAACCGTCTGACACTCCTGATCGAACCAATCGTTCCGTCGATTCCGTTCCACAAACCCAATGGCACCTTCAGCAGCGCCGTCAATTGCTGCTTTCACGTTGTTCCAGCAGTCCTCAGGAGGTGCTTCGATGAGCTTCATCCGACAACGCTGCGTCGAGGCATTGCGCGTTATTAGTTGCGACCTCGGGCAGCTTCAGTCGCTTCAGATTGTACCGTGGGAAGGCAAAAATCGTTGCAATCCTCAATAACAACGATTAGTTCCCTTTATACTTAGAGCACTTAGATATATATGCTTAAAATTAAGGCTAGTAAGTTACTGTAATAGCTGGCGCACCTAGACTAAAATGAAGTGTAAATGAATTTGAAGTTAAAATAAATAAAGAGTTGAAAAAAGAATCACATTCATATATTTGAATAATAACCACCATCCGAAAACAATATAAATCCGCTTAACCACTTGCCCTTTCTGTCTCTTTCCAGTTGGGTGTTCGGCGACTTCCTGTGCAAAATGTACCAGTTCGTTCACTCGCTGAGCTACACGGCTTCGATATTCATCCTGGTTGTGATTTGCATGGAACGGTACTTTGCCATCATCCATCCCATCACCTGCAAACAGATATTGACCTCCAGGAGGTTAAGGGTAAGTAACCAAACTATTTACCTTCCTACTACTGTAAATTGGACGTGACACGCTCTAATCAACGCAGTGCATTGAGCGTCAATTTTCTCTGCCTGTTATTTTCTTCAATCTGATGACCATTAGCGGTCGATTTGAAATTAGCTCGAAAATTCAATTAATCTATAAACCAGACCAACAGAGGTGAAAGCTTTGCCCTTGGGGTGCTTTGATGGGGTTCAGGCCCTTGATGGCAGTTAAATGAATCGATCCAAATCTACGACTCGAACCTATCACACGAAGTAGACTTTTTCACCCATTATAAATAGCATAGGATGTTTTTCAATCCAAGGATTTTTACTCAAGTTCAACAGAGTCGCAAAAAACTAGCTGCCATCAAATTAGCATTCAAGGAAAAATGGAAATTAACTACGTCCATTTCAAACATCGAACAGCAAGTGTACACACACACACACCCACACCCACACTTAAGACCTGTATCAGAGAAAAAGGCTCGCTTCCTTCCGAGTATGCAAAGCAACAGAGCAGCTTAGGGCGAAATTTCAACCCAACAGCTTCCGGATATAAATCATCGCTTATACCTAAGGTACAGGCTGTTCCGTTGCGGTTGTTGTCTTCTACTTCGCCAACCTCCCACACCCGCCTATAGGAAGCTAGCAATCCTTGCTCAATTCCTAGCGGTAGGATTACTGTCCTGGATTTCTGCTTTTTCTCCAGCTCCAGCGCTGCACTGGCACGGTAAAAGTAGTTAAGCTGCTTCTGCCTTCGCCGGTCCAGAGAAAATCAAATTAGGCAACCTGGGGACTTGACTGTTTTCAAGCGTAAAGAAGTTACAGTACGGTCGTCGGATAGTAGAGAGACGTTGATTTGAGTTGAGTTTAAGAAACTGGGTCATTTGTGTCCAGGAAAATGGGAAATTGGTTTGTACCATCAGAAAGTAATAAATTGCGTTTTATGGGCGGGTCTGGACATAAGTGGGTGCGAATGATGGCTTAACTGATTGAGTTTCCATTCGTTGGACATGCAGGCAATTATGCAGATGGAGGAAATGGATGTGTTGTCATTGCATTCATAGTAGAATTGAACTATTTAAAGCGATGTAAATCAATCTAATAAACATCCATTCATTAGCCGGAACACCCGCAAGCACTTCACTCGCCAACCATCCAATCGAAATAATTCATTAAGACTCCAAAATTAAAAAAGTTCACCGAGCACCAGTGCCGGAGGTACCATAACCTTCATTTCAATTAAAATATTCACAGTTCTACCTAGCAGAAAATCAAAGTTTTCATAACTCATTACAAAAGTACTTCCCACGTAGGGAAAGCACTTGCATCGCGAAGTATTCTCCGCAGATTTAATTTCAAACTATGGTTTCAAAAACTAACAGAACCACCAGGAACAAGCGCTGCGGCGTGTGCAACTTTACCATTGAAATGAGCGTTGGAAACTTTGGCAGTTGAAATATTTTTCTCCCCGTGTTGTGGTTTTCAGCTGGATGCAAGATCAAACACTAGCACCTCGCTTTCCGGTGACATTAGCATTGAAGTACTTAGTCAGTGCAGTGCGAAGTGAATATTAATCCAGCTGCCTTTTTCCTTACTGGATACTAAACTCTCAAACGGAAACCCGCAGGCACTTGAATATGAGCTTGGTAGTCTTATTTGCATACCATTAGCATGCACAGTTCGGTTGGATCAATTTCCGAAAGCTTCTGAAAGCTTGGAAAGGAAAACATATCTGCTTCCGATGGAAAATGCTTCCAACTAGCTCGACTCCATTCCGAACTAGTAGTCAGTTCCCAGAGGGAAAGCCATTTCAACTTAATGCCTTGTTCTTTCGATATTTTTGCATTTGAGTTGCAAAGTGAAGGGTTGTTCCGCATGTAATTGAGCAGTTCCCCTAAAGAAACGGGAAACTACGTTCTAGAGAGAGAGAGAGAGAAAGTGATCAATCTTCCATGAAATGAAAGAATGTTGTGGGGCTTCTTCGACTCCACTGAAGTTAGCCTGCACTGAAAATATTGTTTCGTTAAGGTTCTACAAAGGGTCATTATTTTGTTTACTTCTTCTTTTTGAAATATTCTTCGATCATCATTTTCTAAATGTATTGGTAAAATTCATTGGAAGTGCATGTCCCCACGCCAAAACTGCCCATTTTTCATAAATATCAACTGGTATGGTGAGGAAAACTTTACCATCTCTTTTCTTCCTTCATTTCAATACAACAGCAAATGTGATGTCACACTATCTAGTGGATAAGAATGTAGCAGACAAAACATAAGCACTGCCAGACTGCGCTGTATGCAAGTTTGTTTACACCCCTGAGCGGGAAAGTGTATAACAGGCTACGTGCACTGCTGCCATCAACCCTGTTAGTGTTGAATTCAATCTTCTGTGACTTTTTTAATTGAACCGGTAAAATGTTTAAAATGGTCATTTATGTTTTATTTAATCAGTTTTTGATATTTATCCACCATTAAATACATCCACTCATCTATGTTAATAAGGCAGACTTTGCAATTAATTGTTTTAATAAACTTAAATTCATTGCTAGAGGCAATACATCTGGCACCGCTGTTTCAATGATACTTTCACGATTGCTAGCAAAGCAGTAAAGTAGAAATGGTTTTCTTTGTGATGAATTTTGTTCACCAAGAGTTTTGTGAAGCAGTTGTTTTGAGTCTCGTGTATTCGATTGCGTTTAATTGTGCTATACTTCGAAGAACACAAGTAAGTAAATACAGTGAATGTGTTTTACCCAGGAAATTTTCGTGTTTTACCCACGAAATACATGTTTTAAATTTTCGTATTCACAATATATGAATGTATGTGTAAACTAATGATGATGATTTTATGATATTTAAAGAAGAAGAAGAACACAAAATTACTTACCCTTTGTAGAACCTTAAGAGACAACTAACCATCACTAGGGTTACCATATGGTATCCTAAAGGAGGACTCCTTTTTCAATATTTTTTCTCCATCCTCCTTTTGCCCGAAAATGTCCTTGCATTTTTTTTTCAGTAACAGATTCATAAAAATGTTTTCAAAGAGCGTTGTTTGCAGAGCTTATTTGTTTAATTATGTCGCAACCTCATCTTATCTAGCAAATGCCATTAGATGGTGGGACTAGGAGTATACTACAGCTGTCAACCACCCTACATTTGGTGGCGATCCATTTCGTGTATTTTAACTTACAGTGTATCCCAAAATTGAGCGTACAGCTGTCCGTACATATCAGAAAAACAGCTGTACGAGCACAACTTAAAAAGATAGATTTCTAAAGTTCCGGCCGCTGGCTCGTCAACCATTAATTGGTCATCGGTATAGTATTGGCACAGACAAACAGACATAACACTCCCAAGTTGTTCATCGAACAAACATTTAACGGACAATTTAAAAGTATCGTAGTTGGTAGTACCACCACCTGTGGCGCGCATAGTCAATTCCCTTGCGTTTGACGTTTACACACTACCGCCATCTGTTCAGTGTAGTGCCCACCACAGTGTACTCAACAGATGGCGGTAATGTTTTAGCGACGATGTTTTACAGTGAGAAATATTCAATATGTTATGTCTGTTTATCTGTGGTATTGGGCTTATTTGAATGAGTGTGTAAGAAGTTAGAGTTATGTTAGAAAACTAGATTTCCTAACAAAAACACATTTTCTTGAAATACAATGAGTCAAACATATTGAAATTTTGCTAATCTGTAGTCATAATAAAGATCTTTAGAATGCCGCTAATTTTACTAAAATCCGCCTGCTAGTGAAATGATGAATTTACTGAAATTACTCAAACTTCATGCACACTCTGCCAATAAAGTCCAAAGCTATACAGATAAATCAATAAATAGTCGTTGAACCACCAGCCAAGATTTCAAAAATCTATCTACTCACAGTCTTTAAAAAAAATTGTCCATTCAGGTATACGCTCAATTTTGAGACACACTGTATTATACTGTATGGAAAATTTTCAAATAAACCTGCTATTCTACCAGACTTATTTCAGACAAACCAGGAATCAATTTTGACAAACAATTACTAGAAAATCAGACGATCAACAACAGAGGTGTTTTCGAACATTATAATTTATTTTCGAAGTGTCAGTGAAAATTCATCACAGTCTTAGAAACACAAACGACAAACCGACATTAATGACCATAGCAAAAACAATAAAATTTATGACCAAAGCACACTACTGACATCTGGCTCCGTGTTCGTGGGAAATATTTCGCTAAGCCATGAACCCGCATGCAAAAATTTTGACTTGGTTCGTGTCTGATCTATTCTGGACAAATTATTTTTATCTAGATCAAAAAATCGTATGGTTTTGACAGTTCGGATCACTGCACATTTAAATTGGACGTTTACGATTTTCAGACATAAGTCAGAATTAAGTGTCATGTCGGTTTGTCGGTGGTCTTAGGCTGTGTTCCATTTATCTGAATTTTTACATAATTTGGACGTTTCGAAAAAAAAATAATGTTCGAAAATCTCTCTGTTGTTGATCGTGTGATTTTCGAGGTGTTTGTCAAAATTGATTACTAGAAATAAGTCTGGTACAATAGCAGGTTTATTTGAAAATTTTCTATTTGTCAAATTGGTGGTGTTTATCATTGATTCCTGGGCTGCCAGAAATAAGACTGGTACAATAGCAGATACATTTGAAAAATTTATATCTGTAAAATTTAAATTAAAATTCACCAAATAGAACACAGCCACACAGATTGAATCCAACATGTGTTCGATTTTGACGTTCAGGTTCTATGGGATTTAAGGTATTTTTTTAGGCCGCCACACTGAAAGCGAAGAGGCACGCGAATCGTGAAATCGAATGTAAGGAATAATATCAATAATAGAACGCTAAGCGCGCCTCTTGAGTCCTTTGCTGAATCAATGGTAAAATTAACAGGTTGCTTAGATGACATGTACCCTGATTTTTTAATATGATAAAAGTTGGGATGGTTTTAAGGCTGTAAAGCTGTAGTTTTCATGCA